GTCTTATGACTACATGATTAGGGCTGTTAAAAGGACTCTTTGTTCGTGAACAGCTCGTGTTCAGCTCGTTAAGCAAACGAGTCGAACACGAACATACATTTTGAGCTCGAAATATAAACGCTCGCTCGTGTTCGGCTCATTTACACCCCAGACAAAGTTAAGTATTTTCTAAGAGCTATCCATGGGCACGGTCATGCTGGTGAAAGGTTTCTTCTAATTCAAAGTCAGTGTTATCAAAGCACAAAGCGCAATGCAATGCTCAAGGCTTTATTTTGTTTCCAAGGGCAAAGCTCAGAGTGAAATGATGCTTTTATGAACCAAAGCGCTAATAGGTTACACAAAGCTACTAATATATAAATACATTCATTAACAATTAACAAATCTAAAATATGACTTTGATATAAAATAAAAAAGTTGCACAATACATAACTTGAAGACAAATACTAAAGGTAAATCTGTAAATTAAAATTTTTGAATAATTTCTAATATTTTGTCGCAACAATTAAAAACTTAAAAATTACATAAAAAATCTACTTAGTTTGCCAGTATTTTCTTTGTTTATGGTATTGTATTAGCTCTAATTAGTTTGTAGATATAATGTCTTCCATTCTTTTCATTAAAATGATGTTTCAGCTTCATTGATGAGACTATTACTATTCATTGCTCTACTAAAAAACACTTTTTATACATTACATATGGAATTTGTGTTTGTATGCTTATATATATGAATTTCTTCCATCAGCTTACAAAACCGCTTTACTAAATCATAACTTCAAATATTTAAGTAAAGAATTATCCCCTTTATCTTGTCCCCTACTATCAAAATCTATTGCCTTCGAGATCTAGGGTGTAACAAAGTAGTCTTGGAGTTTGATTTTGTATTCAGCCTATCTTTGACTTTCATAGCATAAGTTATTAAAGTAGATTCTCTTAAAAGATTTAAATTTTTAATAAGCTTATGATTAATCCATTACCTTTATTAGCTATTTAATTATTTATGTGGGACATCCACAACCTAGATGAGGTAAATTTTTCGCTCATTGCCCGGGGTCAGTTCAATTCAGGCAAAGAAGGGTCGGGCCAGTCCTTCCAGGTATGGGCCTCCCTAAAATTTGGGGCGGGACCACTCCTCCTTACTCTAGGTCTATAAATATGTTATTTTCATGTTTTAGAACAGTTTTTCGATTGTGTCTCTATCAGGACAGCAGCCGGCATCCCCTGTTTTTCCTTCTAAGGATGTATTCGAGGACAAGCAATGCTCCGACTGTATCTCGCTCCGGGGTGATGATTATCTTGGACTCCCCTTGCCCCTGCATCCATACTTTATTGTTGCAACTTCTTCCTGTTGTAGCAGCCCAAGAACAGCCTCTCACGTGGTATCCCTACAGCCATCCACCTTCCAGCCTCCTCTCTTTCATCTTTTGGCATTGCTGCCACTCCAACCTCCCCCTTTCCAGCAGTATCCCACCTTTCCACCCATCCCAACCTGCTGTCCCTTGCCTCCAAACCTTCTCCTCGCTGTTGTCATCCTGAGGACAGCTCGCCAGTTGCCTTTCTACAGTCCAACCCTTCCATACTTGCAGTCCTCCCCCCTATCTTCATTCCAGCACTCTTCATACGCAACCAAACACCCTCTTCTTGGTGCTGATGCCTCACACCAGCACCCCACATCTTCATTCCAGCACTCTCCATCCCTTACCACCTCCATAGCCGACACCACCGCCCCAAGCCTCATCCTAGTTTCAGTTTGTGTCGTGTCAGTTGTTTTTCTCTTTCAAGTGTTGGTTGAAACCGCCTATTAGCTTTTGCAGTACTAAATTTGTTTCCTTATTGTTGTTTGGGTTAACTCTGATATCCATTACCATGTCATGTTTTAATTTATCCATAATGCCACCAAAGAGAGGAGATGTTGTTGCCACAAGTACTAATGGTAGCAAGTGGATTTGGTATGGGAGTCACACATATCAATAGAGGTCCTCATTATGTCGTTAGAGGTGAAATTACTACCTGACTAATAGGGATGTAGTTCAAAGGACTGGGGTTAGAATCTTAAATCTCAATTATTGATCTGTTTCCCTAGTTGATGATGTGATGCATGATGTAATAAAAATCTTATAAAGCAATTTACATCCAAGGCCAAAGTTTCTCTGCTCATCACGTAGAACAAACTGCACAGCAAGAAACCAGTCACACCAACCATTATGGAAGCTCATGTCAAACATCTGGTATCAGTTGTGCAGGAAGCTGAAGTCAACTAGATGAATGTAGCTACTCAAAGTTGCAATAGAGTTCAACATGCTCTGCAAGTTAGCAAAGAAAGGATGAATCAAGACATGAACACTTATATTTGCTTGGTTATTGTCAGCTCCTGCACAGTTTTTTTCTATAAGAAGATAATGTTTCTTTGGGTTGTTGGGGAGTAAAATATGTGAGCTTTTTACGCCGTGAATTTTGTCAGCAGTGCTTTTCATTTTCTTTATTTTATTGGGGATTTTACAGGGTTTAACTAATGTTAATGTATTTCAAAAAATCAAATAGTCAATCATTTTTAAATGGGCATTCCACTAATTTGGGGCATGATGGTATGACTTTAGTCTGTTAAAGGCAATATTGTCATGAGATATACCCATATAGGCGACGTAAATCTCCCCCTGATCAATCCATGCATCCAGCTTCACAGCATCTACCATCCCATGATATGTAGAAATTTCACATTGGTTTCTTCTTTGAATGGTTAACCATATCTTTTTATCCTAGCAAACTATCCTTGTAATTGAAATGGACGGAGGAACACAACTTTTTTTCTTGAAACTAACTACTTGATAACAACTACATTCGGCATAGAATCACTAATAGCCATTAATTGACTTTCTTCCTCTTCTTGTTCGTCTCTTCTCTGATTTTCAATCCATCATCCAGACTACAAGCAGCTCTTCCTTTTTTTAATTTACCTCTTTGTTTGTATCATGCACTGAGAGGTGATGCTCTAATACAAACTTGATCCGTAGCTAACCTTTCAACGTTATTACTTATGCCCATAATGACAAGTTAAAATGGGCTCAAGAAGTTTTAAATACTTTTCTGAAGGATTCCAAATGATCTATCAATCAATTAAAGGAACCTCAATTGCTATTTCACGCGGTATATAACTTTTCTTACTATTTTAAACATCTTCCTTTGTTAGACAACACATCATTTATTTATTCTGGTATGAAATTCCTCCATAACAGCAACACGTTGTTTTACACATCATTTATTTATTCTAGTATGAAATTCCTCCATAACAGCAACACGTTGTTTTCGGCTTTAGATTGCAGCGAACATCAATTTGTTTCTTTTTTTTGTTTTTTTTTTTTTTTTTTTGAGGGTTTTTTTATTTTGGTAGTTTCTTTTTGGTTTGAAACAAGTAACAGTGACAAGCTAAAACCAAGGCAGCACAGTGAACCAACACAAAACCAAAAAAAAAAAAACCTCTGCTACGGTATTTTCTTCTTCTTTGTTTTTTTTAGCTGGAGTGGCACTGAAAAAAAAAATTGGGGAGGATTTAAACTTTGGATTGATTTCATTGCCTAATATAAACAAATATAATGAACAATATTTTTTATCAATTTCCTAAAAAAAAGGAAATGTTATCTAGAATAACCTAGATACTTTAAACTAAATGATAATTCTAGAAGAAATCAGCTTATTCAAAATTTAAATATTAAGATATTCAAACATGTTAAGAAAATCAAATTGATCATTATCCAACTGCAATTTAAGAAGTGATCTTGCGGTCTAACATTTAAAGCCTTAATAAAATTGCACCTATAACTCCTGATGACATCTTCAAACTCAAGGACGTAATCTAAGAATCACCATCGTCAGTAATTTTCATAAAGATTTGGACTGATTCTTTTGATATCTTCACAATCTAATGCACAAATGAAAGTTCCTAATATAATTTTTCAAAACGGACAGTTAGATTGATAACAGCATTCACAATCTAATCATTGGATCACAAACACGTTCTTTATTAATTTTTCTACTAAAATATCCATCAAGATAAGAAAAGCATCAAAATAGTCCCCCAACTTTTTGCAGGGGCCATTGTAGTCCCGGGATTTATAAAATTGTTGGAGTCCCAAAATTCTTTTAATATGGAAAAAAGTCCCCGATGAGGGCTACTTTACCCCCATTAAAATAGTTCGAATACCAATTTAGCAATTTTATAAACCCTGTGACTAAAATGACCCAATATAAATAGTCAGAGAATTATTTTAACACTTTACTCAACAAGATAAATTAGAGGACTATCAACATGAATAGATATTCTCAAAAACAATTATTCTTTGGGTTTGGTTGTCAGCTACTTTGACAGCAGTTTCTTTGTTTCAATATATATGTGTGGATTTTGATTTAGCAATGCAGATATTTTCTTTTAATTAGTATGATGTTTCAATTTTATTGCTAGTAGATGCAGTATTACTATTGCATTAGTAAAAAAACTCTCTTAAGATATTGTATTGAGACATAAATGTGTTTGTATGTTTACATATGTTAATTTGTTCCTTTGGAATATAAAATAGCTTCACATGTCATTAACTTTAGAAATCTGCCAAACAAGTTAAGATTAGGTGCCTTCATCATATCCCCATATTACTAAGTGTATCCACATTTAGACCTAGGGGTGTGATCTTGACTCCACATGGTTCTAAATTACTTATTAAAGGGCCCCCTTCATTATACCAATAGAAAATGTTTGAAAATAAGAAAATTAGGATTGATGTTATGGATCCCATGGAATACATTTAGGAACTCACAAATTAAAAGAAATATGAAAAAATAATAATATAATAGTGAAATCTACAACATTGCCCAACTTTCAAGTACTTCTACTGGGATGCATAATTCCAAAGGATGACTGTGCAATCTGAAGGAAAAAATATGGATCAAATTCGAAATTAGCAACATTTAAATGAAAAAAGCACAAGTATGAGTAGATACAAGCGTTGGAAGGCACTGAGGAGACAAGGCCTCCAACAAGTGAGAGTTATTATCTAAAAATTATATGAAGCAGATTGTTTGCAAAAACAGATTAAAAATTAAGAAAAGATGAGCAATGAATGAGTAAATATAATATCAGAAAAGAAGTGTAAGAAAAACCTAGTATCAGCCGAATATCTGAAAGTCTCCAATATGTCATTCCCAGATTGAATAAGACTTGAAACCCGACTATCACCATCTAATCGGCCACGCAACATAACATAGATAGCATCAGAAAGACATTTATTTATTGTTGCAAGTGCCCTTGCAAAGGCTCCAACTCTCTTGTGTATTTCAACTGACTGCAAGTTGCAAGCAGATAAATCCAAAAAAAAAAAAAATACCTTAGACTTCAAAAATGACCATAGCAGAACAAGCATAGTAACACCCCAATACAAAAAACCTTAGACTTCAAAAATAACCATAGCAGAACAAGCATAGTAACACCCCAATACAAAGGTCCAACATCAAAGGAATGAAAATTAAAGCAAAAGATTTAACAAGCAACACAATTATATCTATAAAACTAAAAACGGATAAAATAAAAGCGAAATAAATGAGAATATAAACTCCAATGAAAAACTTTTCAAATAAACAAAGATATACCCTTGTGAGCTTTGAACAGTTTGATTATGAGAATACTATATTCCAAAGTAAATCTTTTCTCCCCAAAAGAAAATGTGTTCTAAAGTTGATAGAGACAATTTAAATCCTTTCAAATTGCACCAATGTTTGAAAGAATATCACAGTAATCTTCATTATGTAAAAGAAGATCAGTAAAACAAAAAGTAAAATTGAACTTTCTTTAAGAATGATAAGATATTATAAGTCCCATTGAAAATACCAGGCAGTCCTTTGTGCTGTATGGTGCTATGGACATATGCTACTTAGAAATTAATACAACGGAAGGATTAAAATAGTTCAGTGATTTAAAAAACAAAATAGTTCGGTGAATAGAAAAATAGTTGAGTGACTTCAATATCATCCGAACAAGGTAACCTGGAAGAAAAAAACCCTTGAATATCATGGCGACAAAAAACAATAGCTTCAAAAACGTCAAAATAACAATGGCATACAAGATCAAGTTTTCATCTTCGAGTCATAAATGGCACATAGTTACCATTTATGCAACGATAAGTTTACATAAAATTGTCGATGCAATACCTAACTACTGTTTCAGACACCTCCATAAGTAATATTTTACCTATGAAAAAATGCCATATTACAAGCCATCTAAATTTTGTGATAGAAGTAATATACTTTCCAAAAGGAAAGATATGAAACATGGGACTACATGCAAAAAATTGAGCTAATATTAACTAGAACCCAACACAAAAAATAAACAGATAGTTTTAAGTTTATGTCTAACATTATGCCATTTCAAAACAAAATGTCCAGCGCATCAAATCTATTGCATTATCAAAAAAAAAAAAAAAAAAAAAAAAAAAGAGGAAACAAACCAAAAAAAAAAAAAAAACACACCCAACGAAGAGAAAGCAAAAAGGCATACTCTGTCATAAAGCCCAGCTTCTTGAGACTGATCCGCAGCATCAAGTAGAAATTGTTCTCGAGTCTTCGAATCCATAAAATATTTTATCAGTTCGCCCTCTTCCCCTGTGCCTCTGGGGCCAAGTAAAAGCAAAATACCACTATCCCTAAGCAGGATCTCAGTTAGAAGTTGTTTTAACATCAAGTTTCGCTGCCTCTGCCGATCAGCACTTGCCCGCCCAATCCATGATAATTCTCCCCCACCCATAACAGCAGCAGCTTGAGCATAATATTCAACTGCTAAGGACAAATTACCATGATGCAAGTATAATGAGCCATACTGACGTATAATGCTAGCAACTTCTGCACAAGGATCCATTACACCAATCTTCTGAGTGATTCCAGCACCTTCAGATATACAACCTTGATCTGCTAAAACTATGGAAATATGAACAGCATCAACGTTATAACCTTCATCACCAACTTCCTTGGACAAGTGGAGAGTGGCAGGAAGTAACTGTATACTGAGAAGCAAAACATAAGGATAAACTAGGGGGTCCTTCCCATTTTTAGTGTAGTAGGATGGTTCAAACTTGTTTAAATAACCTTGAAGGTCCTCCAGACTATATGGTACCAAGCCATCACTAAGCACAACAGAGGATGATTCACTAGAAAAATCACGTACTGCCGACAACTTGAACCACATAAAATCCTCTATGGTATTGAAAAGACTTGGTAGATCTCTTAGTAATCTGTCAATCTGGCGCCGGCAACCAGAGATCATAGCATACAAAAGCAACTTTTTCCTGTCATATCCAGGTCGACCAACCCGATCACTCATCCTTAGCAGTTTCTCACATTCTTCAGAGGCAGTGGAAGCAGTTTCTGGAGATACCATACCTCCGGTTGTAATCCATTCTGCTAGCTGAAAATAATAATAATAATAATAAAAATAACTGCTGATAAAAAAAGATACCAATATAATAAAAAAATTAAAATTAAAGATAAAATTCAAGAAAGAAATTTATACCTGAGGGGCAAATTGGTGGGCAACTCGAGATGACTGAGCAATGTTTCTAGCTTCATCATAATACCCAGTTCTCAAGCAAAAATAAATCTACATTCATTAAGGCAGGAATGGTCATGCCAAAGAAATTACACGATAGCATATGCATTCGCACAAAGATGTTCAAACAATGAGTAAAAAAGAGGGGAGTGGAAAGTACAAAAGATAGCATTTAAAGTTTTGCAGTCAGAAGATATTCTGATATTTATGCTTCAAGAAAATATCACAAAATCGTAAAAATATAGAAAACAAATTCTTAAAACTAAAAGATCTAAAATAAAACAAAAGATATCACTAGAAAAATTCAATAGCTTGTTTTTTTCTTCTCAGAAAATTTAAAAGGTTACTATTCTTAAGTATATATCTTGCAACATTTTATTATTGGAGTTTTTACATATGGAGATTCTTAAATAGTCTTATTTAATTATAAAGCCTTCCAAAGATTAAATTTATGCATGAAGGTCACTGTTTTCACTAGAAAAATCACGTACTGCAGACAACTTGAACCACATAAAATCCTCAATGGTATTGAAAAGACTTGGTAAATCTCTTAGTAATCTGTCGATCTGGCGCCGGCAACCAGAGAGCATAGCATACAAAAGCAACTTTTTCCTGTCATATCCAGGTCGACCAACCCGATCACTCATCCTTAGCAGTTTCTCACATTCTTCAGAGGCAGTGGAAGCAGTTTCTGGAGATACCATACCTCCGGTTGTAATCCATTCTGCTAGCTGAAAAAAATAATAATAATAATAATAATAACTGCTGATAAAAAAAGATACCAATATATTAAAAAAATTAAAATTAAAGATAAAATTCAAGAAAGAAATTTATACCTGAGGGGCAAATTGGTGGGCAACTCGAGATGACTGAGCAATGTTTCTAGCTTCATCATAATACCCAGTTCTCAAGCAAAAATAAATCTACATTCATTAAGGCAGGAATGGTCATGCCAAAGAAATTACACGATAGCATATGCATTCGCACAAAGATGTTCAAACAATGAGTAAAAAAGAGGGGAGTGGAAAGTACAAAAGATAGCATTTAAAGTTTTGCAGTCAGAAGATATTCTGATATTTATGCTTCAAGAAAATATCACAAAATCGTAAAAATATAGAAAACAAATTCTTAAAACTAAAAGATCTAAAATAAAACAAAAGATATCACTAGAAAAATTCAATAGCTTGTTTTTTTCTTCTCAGAAAATTTAAAAGGTTACTATTCTTAAGTATATATCTTGCAACATTTTATTATTGGAGTTTTTACATATGGAGATTCTTAAATAGTCTTATTTAATTATAAAGCCTTCCAAAGATTAAATTTATGCATGAAGGTCACTGTTACACGCCGTTATGAAAACTTACCGTTATCGAGCCAATATTTTCTTCCTTATAAGAAGATCTGAATGGTCGCAGTAAACCAGTAAATACCTAATTGAAGCCCTATTCTCTTGATGCGGCAATGGTGCCGATGGAGGGTTTGGAAACGCAAGATGATTCCAAACGCCCTTGAAAATTTGTGAGGGTAGATCATTCAATTAACTATTCCGAATTCCATTATTACCTTCCCAATTAGTCGGATTCAAATGAACTCAAGGATTTGTTCTTGGAGATTGAAGAACAACAAGGGGAAAGAGAAGGGAAGAGGAAGATGTGGAGAAGAATGGATTCGGGAGGAGGGGGAAAAGAACGAAGGGTTTGACGGTGGAAAAAGGTGGCAGATTCGATTCATGTAGGAAGAGGAAGGAAATGGTGGTTTCATCTCTGATTCTTTTTTTGCTTTCTGAAGTCCTTATTGACAGCAGTGTGGAGTCTCCCTGCTAGACATCTTCTTCCATTTATTCCGTGAGAAATCTCCACAGACGTGAAAAGGCATGCAGGCGGATGCAGCAGTGGGAGGAGAGACGAGACATTAGCGGAGGAGATGTAGGTGTACGAGAGTCATAACAGTGACCCTCACGAGTAAATTTAATTTTTGGAAGCCTTTATAGGTAAATAAAATTATTTAAGAAACTCCATATGTAAAAGCTCTTATATTTATTTGTATTTTGATCCTTACTTATAATCATGTGGTGTCCATTTTACACTTTTATTCGATGACGTTATTGTGACGGTTCGTTTTTATTTTATTGTAATGCTAGCATTTCGAAGCGAACGGGTCAAGACACACAAATATATCTAGAGACGGATGGAGGAAGATGGGACGAAACAGGCAAAGGGCAAGATAAAGTGATTTGGAAGGAAACAGGACTCTTGTAATCAAATCAGAGAAGAAGATAGTATGAAGGTTGTTTGGTAAGAGAGGGAAGCCGAGCATGAGCAAAGGAGCAAACCTCAAGTCAATTCGATGTGGGAGCTGCGATCTCCAGCTTTGCCGAAGCAGCGAGATGCGGAAGGAGGAACGAAACCCTTTTCGAAGCTGAAAGACTTTGGCTTCCCGAAAGCAGAACAGAGTAAGGTGAGCGAAGGAGACGAATAGTGCAGGAAGTGAAATTGTCAAGCAAGAGACAGTGATGACAGAGGCTCGCACGAGCAAGAAGAAGTGCAAGACCAAAAGAAGGTGATGCGGAATGCAATCATTGCAGCATGTAAGATAGGTGTGAGCGAGAGCTGCTCGAACGAGATAGAGCTGGAAAAAGGAGGTATTGAGCATAGCAGAGAATTTGAGATGAATTGAGCGATGCGGACTAGGCTCGTGAAACAGTTCTATGATATGCAAGAGGTGACACCGTGCGGGACTCATGCTGGAACCGAAAGACCAAACCAAGTTAAGGTAAATTTTGATAGAATATTTCATTCCTAAATATTTTAACATTATAATATCAAATTTAATAAACTATTAAGATTATTATATAAATTAGAAGATAAATTTAATGATAATTTTTTTAAGAGAAACTACTAAATTTTCAAATTAATACATAGTTAAGTTTAGATAAATATAAGATGTTATGCTGATACATACCTACATACATATATACATACATACATACTAAGATGTTATGCTAATACATACCTACATACATATATACATACATACATAAAAAGATTGAAAAATATGCTATTTTGATACATTCAATTAGAATACTTAAAGACGCTATACATGTTAAATTAATGGCAAAAAAAAGAACAAATTTCAATAGAAGTAAACATTAATAATTTAAATAAGGTTATGTAAGAAGAATCAAACGAGGAAAATTTTAATATTATATTGAGAAGGTTAATAATTTAATTCTGAGCAAACATTAATTATGATTTATATACTAATTAAGTACAAAGGTTAATTAAACTCCTGTAATTGAATAAGAGAAAGAAGTAAATAAAACCTACTTACTGTAAATTTTTACATTTATTATTAGATGTTCAATTAAAAGGGAAGTAATAGTGGAAGGACAAAAATCTGTCGGTGAAAAAAATAAGATAGTACAGTTACGCTATGACAAAATATACTTTCTTCTAGATTAATTTCTTGGGTAGTTAATGATACCTGCTAAATTCAATTGTACAATTGTATCCTGATTTATATTCAAATTTATTATTGGTCATGACCTAGTGAATGTTATTTGTCTTTAATAACACTTATTATTACACATTAAATGTATATAAATTGTATAATATGAACTCATGACAGATACGAATTATATAAACGGATTGTTTGTGTGTGTTGACTATGATAAAATTCACCCCATTATACTATTAAATGGGGATGCTAAAAAAAGATATAGATATATAAATAATATAGTACAATATTGAATATTTTGAACTATTATGAACTATCATATTTGAAAAAATAATTTGTCTTTTTTTATACTTATTCATTATATTTTTTTTACTGGTTATGCATACTAATTTTTTATAATTATGTTATCATAGATAGAAATTGGAGTATTCCCTGAATTGTTGATAACTCGGAAGAATTTAAACTAAGAATTCCAAGTTTTAGACTTGAGTTAAAAAATGAAGGCAAGAAAAATAACGCAACCAACCTAATGAAAGTTAGTTCAAAATTAGTTTTAGTTTTTAGCTAATTTAAATTATACTTGTTAGTGGCTCTTTCAATTTAATTTGGAGGATCAATTTTTTTAGTGATAGAAAATAAAATTTAATTTCACCAGCCGATCATTTTACTCTGCCTTAAAAATTTCAAATCTCATAGCCGAGTCGTGGCAGCGATAATGGTGAGAAGCAAAAGGGAGGGTGCGAACAAGAGAGTCAAAAGACGTCTATTTACTGTAGTGAACTATATGTTTGTAAGTTTCGCTAATAAATTAGCATCCAAATGCATTACATAATCTATGCACAAGGTTGAGTTGTAATAATTTCAATCATGTTGTCTAGGAATATATTTGTTCATCATTCATTTGTCACCAACAGAATTTGATAGAAGAAAAATGAAAGTAGCAAATTTAAAGCTAACAACTTTAAGATGTGAAGTTTCCGTAAAAAACTAAAACATTGACCTTTTAGTTAAATTTCTAAGCAAATCACTACTTCAGAATATACAAAGGAGGATGCATTCATAGCATTCTAATGATCATTAACAAGCAATTCCATAATGAGATTTATTATAATTTAGAACCATTTACCTACTGAGTAATTTCACTCAACCCACAAGTAATTTACAATTTTACAAGAAAACAAGTTATAGACAAGATGGACCCCAGAGATTCTGTGTATAGGTGTTGAGAAGTGCGGCATGATAGGTATCATAGTTCAGCTTTATTTTTATGTTAAATGTAAAAGTTTAAATATGAATCAAAAATTATAAAATTAAGTTTCATGAATTAGAATGATTCTTTTGTACTTTTGTGGATTTTATCTGATTATGAAATGAAACTATTAGATAGGTTATATCTGTCCGACCGTCAGTTCCGACCTTGGATCATGACATAAGTAGTATCAAAGCAATGTTTAAGATTGAATAATATAATTGTGATGAAAGAGCCAATAGAATAATTAAAAGAAATATTTAATAATAATTAAACAAATTAAAAATTTTAAATTAACAGTACTAAATAATTATTTTTAAAATCCAAGCATCTTGATGGACTTGAGATTCAAGAGAGAGGAAAGTAGTTGAAAGTGACGGCGTGTCGCTTGTTGTTAATGGTAATACAAATAATCTAACTCAGATTATGACAACCAAGACTAAGTTGATTCAAGAATCTAGATAACA